CATAAATACATGAAAATTAAACAACACACTCTTAAACAACCAGAGGATCAAAGAATAAATCACAAGAGAAATTGAAAAATATCTTGAGACAAATGAATATACAACATTCCAAAACTTATGGGATACAGAAAAAGCAGTGAGTGGCAAGTGGGAATTTTATAGCTATAAACACATTAAAGTCAGAAGAAAGACTTCAAATCAACAACATAAACTTACACCTTAAACTACTAGAAAGAATAAGGTCAGAGTACAGATAAATAAAAGAGTGTATAAAAGAAACAATGAAAACTGAAATCAAGAGTTATAAGATCTGACCAACCTCTGGCTACACTAAGGAGAAAGAAGACTCAAATAACTAAAATCAGAAGGAGGGCACATACCACCAATTTTACAGTGATAAAAGGGATTCCAAGACTACTGTGAATGATTATATGACAACAATTAGATAACCTAAATGAATTAGAGAAATTCCTAAAAACACACAACCTACCAAGACTGAATCATGAAGAAATAGAAATTGTGAACAGACCCAATGACAAGTGAGGAGACTGACTGGTACTCAAAAACTTCCTAACAGAGAAAGTCGAGGACACATGGCTTCCCTCAAAAAGTCTACCAAACATTTAAAAAATTAAACCAGTCCTCCTTAAAGTAATGAGATAACACTCCTAAATTTACACTATGAGGCCAGCATCATTCTTATACCAAAACCAGAAAAATAAATCCATACACCAATATTCCAAATGAAGATTTTTGTATCAATATTTATCAAAATACTTGCAAACAGGATTCAATGGCACACTGAGAGGATTATATACTATTGCCAAGTGAGACTTATCCCTAAGATGCAAACATGGTTCAAGATGCCCAAATCAAGGGGAACCAGCAGTTAGCGTAATGGCTATATCGCTGAACTCCCATGTAGTCGACTGCGGTTCATGTCCCGGACCCGGTGGCTTAAAACTCACGCCAGGCACGTGTGCGTGCGTGCCCAAGATCCCGAGAGGAGAATGGAGGAGAAGGATTGCGGCATGACCATCCCCTCCGGGGGGTGATTTCTCGCTTTCTGTCTCTATGTCTCTGTCTGTCTGACAAGCGCACGCACCCTATAGAGAAAAAATCGCACGAACCATATAGAGAAAACCTCTCCAAAAAAAAAAAAAAAGATGCCCAAATCAATAAATATGATATATCACATTAACAGAGTGAAGGAGGAAAAATAATCATACAATCATTACAATTGATACAAAAAAGACATTTAACAAAAATCTCACACCCTTTCATAGTAAAAACTACCAAAAAACCCCCCAAAAAAACTAAAGCTAAAAAAAAAAAAAAAACAGAAACAGAAACAGAAAACCTCAATCTAATAAAGCCTATATGAAAGGCCCACAGTAAATATAATAGTCAATGGAGAAAAACTGAAAGCTTGTCAGAAATAGAGAGGGAGAAAGCACCCCTCAGTGTGGCATGCTCATGCTGCCATCCCTTCTCTCCATCCTTTTGGAATTTGAGGCATCACACACATAGTCCAGTGTGTTCTTCAAGCCACTGAGACTCAAACCATATAGTGTGCCATGTGGAACCCGACTCCCTTAACCACTAGGCTACAGGACTGGCCTGATGGCTTCTGAGCTTGTCCAGAATTCTATTAAACATTTAAAGGAGATTGACAATAAACCTTCACAAACTCTTCCAAAAAACAAAGAGGAGGGAACACTTCCCAAGCTCATCCTATGAGACTGTTTTTACCCTACCACCAAACCAAAGGCATCATACATGCACACGAACACACTCACAAACTGTAGACCAGTATCTCCTGTGAATATTAACACCAAAATCCTCAATAAAACATCAACAAACCAAATCCAACATAGTTACATATGAAAATTATATACCGTGACCAAGTAGGATACAGCCCAGGAGTGCAAGGTTGGTTCAACATACAAAAATCAGTCAGTGTAATCATACCACATCAATAGAATAAAGAACAAAAACCACATGATCTTCTCAACAGATGCACAAAAAGTATATGACAAAATTCACCACCATTTTATGATAAAAATACTCAACAAACTAGAATTAAAAGGGAACTTCCTGAACTTGGTAGAAGGTATATATGGAAAACTCATGGTTAACATCATATTTAATATAAAAGACTAAAAGCCTTCCCCTAACATCAGGCAGAAGACAAAGATGTCTGCCCTTGCCACTGCTATTCAACACTGTACTAAATAGGTTCTATCCAGGAAAGTTAGGCAAGAAAAAGAAATAAAGGGCATCCAAACTAAGGGGAAGAAATGAAATTATGTCTATTTGCAGATGACATACTTCTGTATATAGCAAGTCCTAAGTAATCTACAAAAATACTATAGAGCTGATAAACTATATTGGCAAGGTTGGAGGATATAAGATCAATATACAAAAATCTTCATGAAGGTTTGATTCTAAAAGCAGCATTTAAGGCAAAAATTGTACACAGTCAGACCCTTATAAATTGTCCATAAAATAGACAGTTTTTTTTGGTGTACAACTCTGTACAGTATATATGCATAATACATATGCAGATGCAATACATTACTCAGCAAACTATTGAAGAGTTGTACCTTGATCTGCTACAGAGACACTGCTGCTTGGCTCTTTCTGATTTATATATATTCATAGGTGAGAAATGTATCTTTTGAATCTCAAAATAGGCAAAGGGACATGACTGTATATCAACACAGACTGCAGCTGTGGCCAGGCTCTGGGCAGGACCCAATCCAGTAACACTAACCAGGATTCAGTATCATGAACGACTAGAGATTCCATCTTGAGAGTGTCTGGCATTGCCTTTGTCAGGAATAAAATGCATGCAAAACTTGCTGCCTGGTCTCAGGTTCTTGGTGGCCTGAAATCTCTGTTTCCTTGCATTATGAACCAAAGTTTAATTTAATCCAGTGAGGAGCAACAGCCCTACTTTGACAGGCCCTGGTATTCAAAAATACCATTCAAATGTGTAAATTATTTATCTTCTCTGTTTGGTGTTGTTTGGTCCTCTGTGAACAACTGATTAGTGCTTTGAAATTGTCTTTCTTCCACAGTTGCCTGTGTCACCCATTCTCTTCCTAGCAACGTGTGTCAGATATCCCTGCTCACCTGCCCAGCCCCAACTCTGCATCCTTCGTGTACACCTGCAATAGGATATGCCAATGTGCACTTACAGATTGGATTGGCTGCATCCCCTGCCTGTGGAAATATGGCAATGCAATGGAACTGCAGGAATCTTCTCCCTACTCTATTAATATTGTTATTTTTTTCTGAGCAGTTTGCTCAATTTATAAATGCATGCATATGTAACTCTACAGCACAGCCAAAGAGCATCATAACAATTAAAAAGGTATGTGACCAACTGGGGGGAAAGGACTTCAAGAGGTTAACATTCTCTTATGAAGAAATTAATATGAAAAATACCAACATCCCAAAAGAGAAAAACAGGCAAAGAGTACAATTGGTAATTCACCAAAACCAAAACAAAACTAACGGCCAATAAGTCCAAAGAAAGAAATGTTCAACCTCACAGTAAGTCATACATCCAGTTCTTCACTTAATTAAAATAGCACCATCAGAATAAGAAATAATACCCATGCTTCAAGGATAATGGACACTCACTATACTCCCTCATTTAAAAAGGCTACAACAATTTCTATTCTTACAAGCCACCTGGAGGTATAAATGTTAAAAGCCTGAAAGAATGTGTAGCTCGTTACGGTACTTCTACTTCTGGTTTATCATGAGGACATAGTCACGTGCACAAAAGTTTATGTACGATGATGCTACCACAGAATTACTGATGTTAACAGCAAAATCCAGGAACAACCCGAATGCTGTGATGATAAAGGTTATTCCACCTGTGTGATGCTATGGAGTGTAAGGTTTTCAGGTAGTACTTCTATAGGTAAGTGCTTCTGGGGGGGAAAAAGGCTGGTTATAAAATGAAAGTACTGGGGCCAGCAGGCAGTGTAGGGATTACAGTGCTGGGTCCCCACATGGTCAACCGTAGTTCAAGTCCCAGACCTGGTAGCTTGAAAATCACACAGGGCGCATGTGTGCCCAAACTCCCAAGAGGAGAATGGAGAGGGACTACAGTGTCATTCCCCCAGGGGTTGATTTCTCATGTTCCCTCTCACTGTCTCTCTGTTTCTTGTTTCTCTCCAGTGAGCACACACACCTATGGCAAAAACCTAAAAAAAAAAAAGAAATGAAAATACTGTATTGGATGTTTATGGCTTTATGGGAAATTCTTACTCCAAATACAACGGCATCTGGCTAGCGACAGACGACAAACGCATTACAGTGGCCCCACAGCAGCACAGGCTCTGTCACAGTGCCTAGGTGTGTAGTAGGCTACACCGTCTTGGTTTGTGTACGTTCACTCTAATAACAGTCACCCAAGGGTGAGATGACCTAACAACGCATTTCTTAGAACATACCAGGTCACAGAGGATGCATGACAGAATATACGTAGAGGCCCTAGATGTCTGCACAGCATCTGGAAGGAAACCGTAATTTGACAACTAAGAAGCATTATTCCTGACCATTTGTTTCAGTTCAGTGCAGAATGTGGTGCTGAAAATCCAAAATCTTTTTTGATCCAGATTTATAAATACGTAAAATTATAAATTTTAACATGCTTAAAAGAAAAAAATTAAAGAAGTAGATACAATTTTCTTGGCTCCTTTGATTCTTTTAAAGATGAAAATATTTAACAATATGTTTCTACCCTAGAGCTACTGAGGAACAATATTTCATATATATGCACATATATGAATATATTTAGCAAGCACAGTTTTCTTTGGGTGGCAGGATTATGGGTAACTTTTATTTTCTTTTATTTACTTTCAAAATTTTCTAGAATTAACATACATTACTTTAAAAATGAGACAACCTTTAAAGACTTAAATAAATGATATTAAAACCACTAACATTACTTTTTCCAGTAAAATGCAGAACTAACCAAGTTAAATCAATAGGTCAACATGATTTATTATTACTTTGTCTATAAAAGTAGCTTTAACACAAGTGAAGTTTGGACTACAATGGCTGTTGCGGACTAAGTCTTGACAAGCCTGAGCTTGGTCCCGCCGCAGGTCAGGGGTGGCTACACAGACTTGACACCTGGAGCAGGAGTGCCCTACCAGGACCCACCTGGGGCATCCAGGAGCACAGACTACCACAGCATCGTGAGGCTACACAGTCTGCACAATTCACAACTGTACCAATACACACCAAGAGGCAGTATGGCTGGCATTCCCTGGGTTCATTCTGCATTCGAAGAGTACTCATTTGGGCACAGCCAATGCAGTTGCTAAAGTACATTTAAAGAAAAAATAAATACTCTGCACAATGTATTTACAACAATCAATGAATTGCTTTGTCCCCACCCCCAACTGCTAGAAAATTGGGAAACTATAATTGGACAGTTAAGCATATTTTTGGCCATTGGTGTCAGTTTGGCACAGAAAGTGGGGCTGAAAATACAAAATCCTTTTAGAACCATATATATATATATAAAAATGCAAAATTTCAAATCGTAATATGCTTAGAAGAAAAGTTTTAAAGAAAGTAGAAATGATTTGCTTGGATCTTCTGCCCTTCTTCAAAGAGAAAATATACAAGAGTCCATTCCTAGCCTTTAGCCACTGAAGGACAATTTTCACGTTCTTTCTGGAAGCATGGGCCTCATGGGATCCTCCAGTCGCCACCCTCGTCATTGCTTTTGGTCACAAAGAACATTTACTACCAGCTATTGCACAAACAGTACGATGTACAACCTCAGACGACAGGGACAGCCCAAACGAGGGCTGCTTTTAAAATTTGAAGAGATCAATGAAGTGCTGTGGAGACACTGGAGTAAAGCAGCTGTCGGGGTCCGCTGCAGTGCAGGGGTGTCCTGAGTCCTGCAGGAAGGAGGGAGATGGGTTAGGAAGGATCCACACCACTGGCAGCCACGCGTCTGCAGAGAAGGTCTCAGACATCTGTCTTACATGGACCCTGGAGTCCACCTCAAAGGTTTGTGGAAAATAACTTGGATGAGAAATATTCAGACAAGGGCAGCCACACAGTTTCTCGGTGGAAAGTTCCTGTGCAAGTTCTGTCATGTGGGGCAGGAGACAGTAGCCTCAGAGTCAGCCCCGGGAACTGTGCCTGCTCTGAGTAGAAAAGCCAGGTGCCAACACTACAGGGCTGCCCCAGAACCTGCACGGGGTCCTGCTGCTCCCTGGTCCCGGCTATTCCTCCTTCCCTGTCTGCCCAGTCCTACTTCACGTTGCTACTCAGGTCTGCCTCTCTGCCAGGTATCCTCGACTCAGCATGCGGGCTCCCACACGGGCCAGGAGTGACCGCCGCCGCCTCAGCCCCCCAAAGCCCCTGCTGCAATGAACCTCTGCTCAGCAGCAGGGCACGAGGCAGTGCCTTCAACCGAAGACCACAAATTTGTTGAATAGAAGTGACAGGGGAAAAAAGGAAGTTCTGTGTAAGATAATGGACAAAATTTCCAGAGGAACACAAGCTGAGAGGTCCCAAGACACGGTGAAGGCAGCAATGGGTCTCTCCACGTGCCCTCCCTGCCGTGTTAGCACCCCGAGGTGCTGCGTGTGGTCCTTCTCTCTGAGTGACAGGCCTGCGTTCTCCTTCAGGGTGGAGCCGCTATCCCCCGAGCACCGATCAAGGAGACACTTCACTGAACACTCCGCCCCGCTGCGGTGGCCAGGGCAGCCCGTCTCGCTGCTTACACTCCATTGCCTCAGTGGCAATCAAGCGCGTGAGGGCTGAAATCTAGCGTGACTGTCTCCAGGGAGTGGCGAGGATGATGAGCATGAGATACAACACAACTCAACATTTTTATCCCAAACATGGCATGTGTGGTAAAATATGGAAGTACCTTGAATAATAAAGCAAGATGGTAGTCCTTTAATATCATGAAGAAAGAATCAGGAAGGAATGCAGTAAAGAAAAGGGAAAAAAGGAAAAGTTAGGATTAGAACAAGCCGGACTGTATTTAGGTTCGATGCATATTAAACATCAGGTAAGTAAATTTGGGCAATGCAAATATTATTAAAAGTGGCATACACAACACCATCAGATGTCCCAAGTCCCCATACAAGTTGAAGATAGTCCTTTGTCTTCTTGAAGACAAGAAGACAAAAATGTTTCCATTTCTTTTTAATTCTCTGAAACTAACAACTAATGAGGTTGCAGTGTCAAATAATCTTCAAGGTCTTTCACTGAAAAACATGTAAAATAATGTTTCTATGTAGTCATATTAAAAATTTTGCAACAGATTTTAGGGGGAAAGTGCTTTACTCCTCCTCAGTGTCCCTAGGGTCTACTCTGCGCTAAACAATGCACATTAATTCCAGTCCATGTGGGCCCAAAGCCATGTGGCCAACCTCTGTCTTTTGATATATCAGTTTCTCCAGGAAGGATCAGCAACCATCTGCTGCTTCCCAACACAGCCAGCCTACACCGTGGCTGTCTGTTGCTCACTGCCTCAAGAGAACCCAGAGCCCGCAGCTCCCAGCCACCCCCACTGCCGCTCCTGCTTCCCTGTGCTATGCCCCCTAGCGGGAGGGGTTTCTGTCTGATCCCTGGCTGAGCGATCTAGGGTTGGCTAATTAACTACTCATACAGAAACAGTTCACCCGTGAGACCAAGAAGGCCAGACTGTGGATCTGGGAGTGGATGCCTTGTCTTAGATTCCAGCTACAATTTTGCTCCTGACACCCACACGAGCCTGCAGGGTTAGTGCTGGCTGTCCAGTATTCAATTTTGGCAACTGAAACACTGAGACAAGAGACTCACAGAAAAAAATGAATCCTCATTTGGCTTCCCAAACCACCCCACAAGTCAGTTTTTAACTGAGTTTTACACAGATAGGAGAATGGGTAGGAGTACAGACTAAAACAGCCATGTCAAACTCTGCTCTTCTCGGTGGCCCTCAATGACTCTAGGTTGGGAGTGTCACCGCAATGGGATCTGGAGGGCCTATGGAGTTGGTCTGCGCCGCAGAGGCCAACTCAGCCGAGTGGTCATTGTACAGACTGTGCTGGGGGCTTTCTGATCAAGGCAGGTAGAACGTATCTGATACAGAGCCAATATGGGCACACGGCCACACTGCCAGTTATGACCAAGTCTGAGTGCCAGGCAAGGATTTAGTCACCCACCAGGACCTCAATTTCTTAATAGGTTTGATGTTACTTTGGTTTCACAGGTAACAGAAAATAACTACTGAGATGCTAAAGAAAATGAATGACAATCAGTAGACAAGCATTTGCTGAGCACCAACTACGTGCCAGATATAAAACTGCTTAATCTTCACTATTCCTCTTCGTCCCAGGTTATGGTAACAAACCTAAAGCCCTGTGGGATTGATGTCTACGTGTGGCCACAATCTGAGGCAGATCCAGGTCTGCCTGACCACATCTGTGCTCTGCCCACTAGCCTACCTGCCACTGGACTGCTGCGTCAGCCAAACACAGAAAAGTAGATGAGAGGCAAGGGAGGAAGGAGGTCAGTTAGGAGAGACTCATCTTGTTTTACACGTGCATGCAGAGATTCTGAAATAAAAACGTGGCTGTGACCAACACCTCCCAGAATGATGTCTGGTGGGAAGAGCTGGGATGTGACCACTCGCAGAGACCAGCCCTAAAACCCACAGTGCTATGTGACATCGCACAACCTTCTGGGGTGAGACGTGAGCATTTTAGAACTGAAAAGACCAGCAGACATCTTTTAGAAAAGACTTGTTCCAAATTTCCATACCATGATTAAGTTAAGAGAGAGAAGTTTGGGCCAGCCAGTGACGTGGCAGTTAAGGCGACTGGATCCCACATGGCCAGCTGTGCAGTTGGAGTCCCAGACCCAGTGGCTTGAAAAACACTGGGCGTGTGCATGTGTCCCCAAAATCCTGATGAGAGAGCATGGAGGAGAAGGGATTGCGCATGGCCATCCTGCATCCCTAAAGTGAGAAAGAGGGCGAGGGCCTGTGCCCTGAAGCAAAATTTAAAAAGAAAAAGAAAAGTTCACTAAATGCAAGAATTTGCAGGCAAATTCTTTTGGAGAGCTAAAAATCATTTCTCGACTTTAAAAACATCAACAACTTACATATTTCAGGAAACGCAAAGAGCATATTCTTTTTTTTTTTTTTTTCCATTTGCTAGAGGGTGCATGCACTCACCAGAGAGACAGAGAGAGGAAATTTGAGAAGCAACCCCAGGGGAAATGGGCACGCCATAATCCTTTCTCCTTCCTTTCACCTTTCAGGAATTTGGGCACACATGCACACGTGTCTGGAGTGTTTCTCAAACTGCAAGGCCCAGGACTCCAGCAGAGCAGTCTGCCATGAGGGATACAGCCACCTACACCACCATGCCACTGGCTGACGTCAGTAGCATATTCTTAAACTGCCTAATGACAAAGGAACTAAGGTGAGAATGTTTGTTTCTTTGTTAATTACTCAGGGAGGGTTCCAATAGTTTTCAGTACTGTTCTGAGAAAAATATTAACTACCACCTACATAACTGAAAGTCTTCTATCAAACGAATATTATTTTCCCCAACAAAATTATCATTACTTTTGTCGATTCTAGAGTATGAAACAATCTGCTGAAGAGAAAGACAAATAACTCTTAGGAGAAGTATTCATTGAAACTAGAAACGACAGCACATACCCTGGTCTTCCCACACTCCCTTCCGCCCGTGTTTTGGTGCAGACAACTCACTCCGTGTGGTGTTTTTGGTGCCTGTGACTTAGGATGGGGAGAACCAAATAGGGGCTCTCTCCTGTCATTTCACTGATATACCGATTAGTCGACCTCACCAAGGTGAGAATAAATTTAAATACAAGATGTTTCCTGCTATCAAGGGACAACGTTCTACAAAACCACCGTACTCCTGCAGAGATACATGATATACCTTGCATGTTCCTAATTTAGGGAAAGGGGGGAGTCCTACCAAAATATAAACAGTAAATCAGAAATAAAATCTCCCAAGCAATTCATGAATGGAGGCACCATGACTGTTCGGGATGGTGCTGATCACTGCTGAAATGGCACAGGAAAACAGCCTCTTCACAGCCTCTGCTCAACCATGGGCTATAATTTAGAAAGCCACATGATTATAAATGTATTGTAAAATAAAAACATTAAAAGCAGTAGTCTCTTTCCAACAACCTAGAGCTTATCTTGTAACCCAACTGATCATAACTTTAGATAAATGTAAAGCAGAAAGAAATAAATCAGAACAGATTATGGGTTCCACCAGGCAAGAGCTTCAACTCCCTAAACTCAGAGAAAGGGAGAGGAGGAAATGGGCCTGTTCCTGCCAGAGGGGCTGAGCCCTGTCAGACCTGGAGCTCCCCAGGGCACAGCAGGGACAGAGCAGGCTACTGCTCTAGGGACCAGGCTCTATTGTTTCCCACTTCTCTCTTCCCCAGCAAAATCTCACAATACAAAATACATACATTCAAATGCAAACCAAAGAACACTTCCAGCATGAAACAATATTAACATGACAAGAAAATGAACTGTACCTAGGAAGTGGTATACAAATATTACCTCCCACTGTGGGAAACATTCTGTCAGAGTCTGGGAGTGAGAGAACAAACAATAGAAAGCAACTGGATGATAAGGGATCCCTTGAGAAACTGGAACTGATGAAGACAGAATTTCTAAGTTTTTCGCTGAAGGGTCAGATTTGCAGTTAAGCACTGATGGTCTTGTTAAGTTTTGTCCAAACAAAAGAAAAACCACAGGTTTATTTTAAAGCCTGTGATTTCCTTATGGACCCTCTTGTTCTAAGAACTTGGCTTTGACAGTGAAGCCCAAGACTAGTCCTGGCCACTTACAGACCCTTGTGAGGCTGTCTTCAAGATGAGGACACAGGGCTGGCCTCATAGCTCAGTGGCTAAGTTCTGTGCATAGAAATCCAGATTCCCACATTGTTGAAGATGTTTCAAATCCTGGCACCGGAAGCCTGTGCATGTGGGTGCATACCCTGAATCCTGATGGGATGGAGAAATGGAGGAAAAAGGACTGCAGTGTGACCATACCCCATGGAAGGGTACTTGCTCTCTTCGGTGAGCACATGAGGGGCTGGACATTCCCATATGGCTGACTATGGTTCGGGTCCCGGACCTGGTGGCTTGCTTTCTCACTTTCCCTCTCTCTCTGTGTTTCTCTCTGGTCAAATTAAAATAAATGAATGAGTAAATAAATAAAATTAAATAAATAATTCTTTAAAAAAATTAAAAAAAAAAAACAGAGGCACAAAAGGAGGAAACTGATCATCAGGATTCTAGGCTGAGGGCTAAGTGTGGGGAAACAAAGAGAATTCTTTGTCAGGTTTACAAAACAGGAGTAATCATCAGCCCCTTCACCTTCAGGGTGAGGGCTGGCAGGCATATCCAACGCTGCTGCTGGAAAAGCCACTGGCCTTGGGTCCAGGCTGCTCAGGTCCAGGCCACACCTCCTGCATGCTGACATCTACGAGGGAGCCCTCCCTGGGAAAAGAAGCTACCCAACACTTTCGGCATTTCCAATTCAAGCCATGAGCTGTCTGTTTTATTCTCATGAACACCTGTTCCTTGTCTCACTAGGTGGTGAAATTTATCTCCTTAACTTTCTTATCACAAACAGTATTTTCCCTTTTCCGTTTTTACACTTAAAACACAGGTGAATAGTTTCACCAAATTACAATCTTCAAAGAATGTATTTTAAATGATTACCTTCCAAAAGAGAATGCTGCAATGCCGACAAAAATGTAAAGTGTCTCCATACTGTTCTTTAGTCGGGTAATATTTCTGAAGTGCAAAATACATCATTTTCCATTCGATGTGACCTTTTTCTGAAAGGATCAAATGTCTGCAAAACTAAATGTAAACAAAATTCTGCTCAGAATAAGATAATTTCAAAGCATAACACTGGGCACAAAACTATTTTTAAAAGGTCCTATACTGCATGAAACATCTAATTACCTGATATTAAATTTATTTGTATTAAATCAATAAGAAATGAATAAAATAAATCATGACATATCTGTACAATGGAATACCAAGCAGCTGTTTAACCATTTATGTATTGTGATCTGTAGTGACATCTATGCTATGATAGTTAGAATAAGTTACACACAAAATGCATTTGATAAGGGACTTGCCATCTAGAATGCATGGACGTTGACAACTCAATAATAAAAAGACAATGCATTTTAAAAATGGCCTGCTGCCATGACTAGCAGTTAGCATAATGGTTAGGTCACTGAACTCCCGTGTGTTGACCATGGTTCGAGTCCTGGACCCGGTGGCTTAAACTCACGCCAGGCGCGTGTGCATGCATGCCCAAGATCCCGAGAGGAGAATGGAGGAGAAGAGATTGTGGCATGGCCATACCCCCTGGGGGGTGATTTCTCACTTTCTGTCTCTCTGTCTCTCTCTCTGTATTTCTGGCGAGTGCACGCGCCCTATAGCAAAAACCTCTAAAAAAAAAAATGGCCCCGCTGTGGGGCATAGTGTTAGGACACCACTCTGCAATGCTGTAAGGCACACAGAAGACCAGGGTTCAGTTAAAAACCTTAGTTCTTAGAAAGAAAAAATGACTTTTGTCACATTTCTACGCCTCACTAATTCTGCGCTGCACTAATGTTCACATGGGGAATTTTCACACACCTTCCCATTGTTTTTCTCCTAAATAACCTTCGGTGATTTATCTGAACTCAAATCCACCATCCACATTAGATGCTCCAGTCGAGAGTATTTAGACAACTTCTCCTCCCAGCACTGTTTCAGGCTATCTGCATCAATCCAACAAGTCCCTCAGTTTTCACTTTGCGGAGGCTTCCGAACCTGGGTTGTATGCATAAAGGTTCTTGCAAATATGTGTCTCTTTTTTCAGGGTCTTACTGTTAGTTACTGAGCCTTGAAGAACAGAAATTTTTTTGAGGCTTTTATAATTCAGTCAAGAAAAAGTATATAAACAAGATGAGTCAGAAGATGCTGATTGCTAATTCTAGCCTAACCCTGCCAGTAGGACGTTTACTTGCTGAACAAACGGTTTAACTTCTGTCAACTGGTCCCTTTAAGGAACTGCAAGGACCTCACCAGTGGTCAACAGATACCCTTCAAACGCATGCAAGCCTGTGTATAACTGTCAGGCACTCTCACTAACACCGTGGACGGCTAGCTCATGCCTGAATGTGAGCACACGGCAGAGGGAGGTGAGGGCAGCCAGCTGAGGACACCTGGCATAGATGGAGCCCACTGGCGTCAGTGCTCGGGCAGAGGGTCCAGGGCAAGCTGTACGCTTTCGCTCACCCTCCTTTCCTAGGTTTGCTATTTATTCGTGTTTTTTCATTTAGATCCCATTGTTGTACATATCTATAGCACACAATATGGTTTATACCAAATGTCTTCATTCTACGGCAGAAACTGAAAGATTGTAGGGGGATAAGAGTAGATACCAGAGCCTGTAAGGAAGAGGAGTAGAAGGTAGATGGTAGCTGGGAGGGGCAAAAGGAAGATACTTTTAACAGGAAAAAGGAACGTAAAGTTCTCTGTTGAAAATGATGTACATGGTGATATCCTTTCCTAGGTTTTTAATTCACCCCATTTCCAATGCCGACTGAAACTCAGTCCACTTTCTCCCCTAGTGAACTGCATGTGAACAGGACGTGCTGCTCCCACAACCGGCTGCTGCAGGCAGCGCCATGCTGGAGAGGAGGGAGAGCTATGGACACTCAAGAGGTTGTCTCCCAAGTGACGACAGAACCTGAGGTTCACAGAGGTCACGCCACTTTTCAAGGATGCAGCTTAGCAAAAGGCATTTACTCTTTAAATTAAGGAGAAAGGACAGTAGCTGGAGACGCTGATATATCCCGTGATCAACAGATGTGATGAAAGAACTCAGCCTTTTGCTTTCCTGTTTGCACTGGGTTAGTTTTAGAATCATGGGTCTTTTTTCAATATGAAACAGAAGCCTGACTATCTACAGAAGAGAAACCAGAAGTGATATAGATAGGTCCTGACTGTTCTGATTCTTTAAAAAATAGAAATACCTGGCCGTTCTCTCCCGGAGAGTTTAGGGACTATGCATCCCTGGGTAGAATCCACCAAACTGGTGATTCTGAGGGGACACCGCTGCATCACACTCACCTGCTTTTCAGCAAAATGGTACTGACACAGTTTCTTCCACAGCTGTCTGTCTTCACTGAGCATATACAGCGTGGGGGTCACTTGGCCGAGAGTTATGATGTCCCACCCATCTGAGAAGCGGTACAAGATGTTGTTCAGCATGTGCAAAGGAAGGTCGCTGAGTGTGAGGCCATTGTTCACTTGCTGGAAGGAAACACGACAGCATTCACTGAGAAGACCATACCCAGCAGCACTCGTCCACATGGAGACTGAGTGGTCACGCGAGACTTAAACAATGACAGCATAAGAGAAGCCCTAGTATTTAACGTATCACGTTTCTCCGTACTTCGCACTATGGAAAGTGCCTGCTTTGAGATCTCAGGGCTGGGGCTGGTGACTCCTCTTACCTCGGAGGCAGAAAGCAGAGCGGCCAGAAATAACCAAGGCTGTTTTTGTACTGAGGGTCTACTAATCTCTACACACACCCCATCTATCTTCACCACTAGGAGGTGTCTGACTATTACCTAAGACACACCTGGAAAATCCCAAGTTCTAAGAATGTGGAATTGTTGATGAGATGAATCAATGCTTCATGAGGGAAATGAATTGGACTGTTTGAAGGCCCGGTGTTGGAAAGACCTCCAGCCTGAGTCACCAAGGGCCTGGGTCCACACTGCATCACTCTCTAGGCAAGTCTAGACAGTGTGGAGGCCTTCATGGGACACAGTTTCCGACTCACTAATGGAGAGGGGTAGACCCAATTGTCTCTAAGGGCCCTTCTACCTTTATCTACTTATTTATATCTGTATTTTAATTTTTAAAAATGTTTTTTCTTTCTTTATTGAGGTATAACTAGCAAAGAAAAGTTGTGTATATTTATAGTGTACAATATAATATTTTGGTGTGTGTATATATATATATATAATTTGTCAGGAAAGTAGTGATGTATTTTTCAATGTTTTTCTATCTGTGCAAAAATGTGTCATGACTTTAATAATAACACTATCACCTCACACTTTAAAATCTTGTGTGGTGAGAACATTTAGGATCTACTCTTCCAGCAAGTCTGACGTGAACAATATATTTTAACAACTGTGGTCACTGGGCTATACAACAGACCTCCAGAATTTCTTCATCCCACATAACTTTGTACTCTAACATCTCCCCATCTTCAGTTTTAAATTTCTCTAATCTCAAATGTATTGATCAGTTCCTCCCTCACACAAGGCTGTGAGTAAACAGGGTACACCTGCCCCCAGAGGACGGCTGGAGGAAAGGGTGGATGTCTGATCCACAGCAAGGTGAGTGCTCTCAAAGGCACGGAGGCAGGCTGAATTAGGTCAGGACCAACCCTGCTTTGAGGCCTTCCTCGGGCAGCCCTGGATTGGGTTTAGCCTCCACCACTCTTGACTTTTTGGGCTTGGTTAAGTGGTATAAAGGGCACCTTTCATGCTCACTAGAAGCATCTCCTACTGATGACTGAGTTCTGACTGGCTGAGCAGGATTGGGGTGGGGGCCTCTGACAAAGCTTCTGGTCCTGCCTTAGCTGCTAGGCCCATGCTCCTCTGGGGCACTGCCTCAGCACACCAGTGGCTTCTGATTGGTGCTTCTTGGATTCTCTTGTCCCTACCTGGCCATAGGGCATTCATTTTCCTGATGTGTCAACCCCCCTTCATCTTACTGGGCACTATGCACATTTATGACCCGTTTCTGATTAGAATGAACTAACTCCTTGAGTTTGGTTCTAGAAATCACCTGGTCTCTGTAGCGAGTGGGGTACATAGAGAGATGAATGGGACACCCATCCCTTGCTGGTCTCCTTATTTTCTTCTTACAGCTTTCCTATGATAGGCTAGCTAAGAAAATAGGTTCTTAAGACCTCAAGAATACAAACTGCTGAAGGATCCTTCTTGTGTATCAAGTGGAGGGTGTGAGTATGGACAGATATCTGTGGCTGTTCTTGATTCACATTTCTGCCTCATCAACTGTTTAAGCCTCTGCCAGACAACCCCCTGGGGCCTCAACACTGCCCGACTATTTCTAAGACAATCTATCACGCTGGATGCAATTGTGGAGTTTCTGTGGACTACACCGTGCTGTCTTGCCCTGAGGTCTGTCCCTTCAGATATTATCACACGTATATTTATGCCTCCCTCTACGGCTGATGGAAACCACAAGTAGGATGGCTGTCAGCCCCAACACAGTCCAAGAGGTGCTGCGTCCCCAGGAGCCAGCATGGCACCTGCAGACTTGCAGCAAACACTCTCTGAATGCAAGGACAGAGAAGGAACGCTCATTTCTGATGAGTGCAAGCACATCTGACTCAAGTTTTAGCCAGTCCTCCCATTTTTATTGTCTAGCATATGGCAAAGAGTACATGTACGAGATAATGTGCAAGTAAATTAATCCCCATTTAATAGTCTTAACATTATTATAAGAATTAAGGCTTATTATGAACAGACGCTTTATTCTCCTTCTCATTGAGTGGAATTTCTGTGCCAGGCAGGCATTTACAGATACTCTGCTACTGAAATCACAAAGCTTAAGGTAGTGTGAAGTGGTAGAAAACCCTGGATTAGTAAGGACTTACAGAGCGTGGCATGACACCTCAGCAGCTGAGTTTTCCAGTCAGGAGCAGATTTACAGCCCCATTAGGACTATAAATGAAAGCGGATGGCAGAAACGCCAGTAATTTCACCTAAGTTAGAGCTTGCCATTCAAAAAGCCTGTGTATAACTGTCAGGCACTCTCACTAACACCGTGGACGGCTAGCTCATGCCTGAATGTGAGCACACGGCAGAGGGAGGTGAGGGCAGCCAGCTGAGGACACCTGGCATAGATGGAGCCCACTGGCGTCAGTGCTCGGGCAGAGGGTCCAGGGCAAGCTGTACGACACAGGGGACCATCCCAGGCACGCTTTCGCTCACCCTCCTTTCCTAGGTTTGCTATTTATTCGTGTTTTTTCATTTAGATCCCATTGTTGTACATATCTATAGCACACAATATGGTTTATACCAAATGTCTTCATTCTACGGCAGAAACTGAAAGATTGTAGGGGGATAAGAGTAGATACCAGAGCCTGTAAGGAAGAGGAGTAGAAGGTAGATGGTAGCTGGGAGGGGCAAAAGGAAGATACTTTTAACAGGAAAAAGGAACGTAAAGTTCTCTGTTGAAAATGATGTACATGGTGATATCCTTTCCTAGGTTTTTAATTCACCCCATTTCCAATGCCGACTGAAACTCAGTCCACTTTCTCCCCTAGTGAACTGCATGTGAACAGGACGTGCTGCTCCCACAACCGGCTGCTGCAGGCAGCGCCATGCTGGAGAGGAGGGAGAGCTATGGACACTCAAGAGGTTGTCTCCCAAGTGACGACAGAACCTGAGGTTCACAGAGGTCACGCCACTTTTCAAGGATGCAGCTTAGCAAAAGGCATTTACTCTTTAAATTAAGGAGAAAGGACAGTAGCTGGAGACGCTGATATATCCCGTGATCAACAGATGTGATGAAAGAACTCAGCCTTTTGCTTTCCTGTTTGCACTGGGTTAGTTTTAGAATCATGGGTCTTTTTTCAATATGAAACAGAAGCCTGACTATCTACAGAAGAGAAACCAGAAGTGATATAGATAGGTCCTGACTGTTCTGATTCTTTAAAAAATAGAAATACCTGGCCGTTCTCTCCCGGAGAGTTTAGGGACTATGCATCCCTGGGTAGAATCCACCAAACTGGTGATTCTGAGGGGACACCGCTGCATCACACTCACCTGCTTTTCAGCAAAATGGTACTGACACAGTTTCTTCCACAGCTGTCTGTCTTCACTGAGCATATACAGCGTGGGGGTCACTTGGCCGAGAGTTATGATGTCCCACCCATCTGAGAAGCGGTACAAGATGTTGTTCAGCATGTGCAAAGGAAGGTCGCTGAGTGTGAGGCCATTGTTCACTTGCTAGAAGGAAACACGACAGCATTCACTGAGAAGACCATACCCAGCAGCACTCGTCCACATGGAGACTGAGTGGTCACGCGAGACTTAAACAATGACAGCATAAGAGAAGCCCTAGTATTTAACGTATCACGTTTCTCCGTACTTCGCACTATGGAAAGTGCCTGCTTTGAGATCTCAGGGCTGGGGCTGGTGACTCCTCTTACCTCGGAGGCAGAAAGCAGAGCGGCCAGAAATAACCAAGGCTGTTTTTGTACTGAGGGTCTACTAATCTCTACACACACCCCATCTATCTTCACCACTAGGAGGTGTCTGACTATTACCTAAGACACACCTGGAAAATCCCAAGTTCTAAGAATGTGGAATTGTTGATGAGATGAATCAATGCTTCATGAGGGAAATGAATTGGACTGTTTGAAGGCCCGGTGTTGGAAAGACCTCCAGCCTGAGTCACCAAGGGCCTGGGTCCACACTGCATCACTCTCTAGGCAAGTCTAGACAGTGTGGAGGCCTTCATGGGACACAGTTTCCGACTCACTAATGGAGAGGGGTAGACCCAATTGTCTCTAAGGGCCCTTCTACCTTTATCTACTTATTTATATCTGTATTTTAATTTTTAAAAATGTTTTTTCTTTCTTTATTGAGGTATAACTAGCAAAGAAAAGTTGTGTATATTTATAGTGTACAATATAATATTTTGGTGTGTGTATATATATATATATAATTTGTCAGGAAAGTAGTGATGTATTTTTCAATGTTTTTCTATCTGTGCAAAAATGTGTCATGACTTTAATAATAACACTATCACCTCACACTTTAAAATCTTGTGTGGTGAGAACATTTAGGATCTACTCTTCCAGCAAGTCTGACGTGAACAATATATTTTAACAACTGTGGTCACTGGGCTATACAACAGACCTCCAGAATTTCTTCATCCCACATAACTTTGTACTCTAACATCTCCCCATCTTCAGTTTTAAATTTCTCTAATCTCAAATGTATTGATCAGTTCCTCCCTCACACAAGGCTGTGAGTAAACAGGGTACACCTGCCCCCAGAGGACGGCTGGAGGAAAGGGTGGATGTCTGATCCACAGCAAGGTGAGTGCTCTCAAAGGCACGGAGGCAGGCTGAATTAGGTCAGGACCAACCCTGCTTTGAGGCCTTCCTCGGGCAGCCCTGGATTGGGTTTAGCCTCCACCACTCTTGACTTTTTGGGCTTGGTTAAGTGGTATAAAGGGCACCTTTCATGCTCACTAGAAGCATCTCCTACTGATGACTGAGTTCTGACTGGCTGAGCAGGATTGGGGTGGGGGCCTCTGACAAAGCTTCTGGTCCTGCCTTAGCTGCTAGGCCCATGCTCCTCTGGGGCACTGCCTCAGCACACCAGTGGCTTCTGATTGGTGCTTCTTGGATTCTCTTGTCCCTACCTGGCCATAGGGCATTCATTTTCCTGATGTGTCAACCCCCCTTCATCTTACTGGGCACTATGCACATTTATGACCCGTTTCTGATTAGAATGAACTAACTCCTTGAGTTTGGTTCTAGAAATCACCTGGTCTCTGTAGCGAGTGGGGTACATAGAGAGATGAATGGGACACCCATCCCTTGCTGGTCTCCTTATTTTCTTCTTACAGCTTTCCTATGATAGGCTAGCTAAGAAAATAGGTTCTTAAGACCTCAAGAATACAAACTGCTGAAGGATCCTTCTTGTGTATCAAGTGGAGGGTGTGAGTATGGACAGATATCTGTGGCTGTTCTTGATTCACATTTCTGCCTCATCAACTGTTTAAGCCTCTGCCAGACAACCCCCTGGGGCCTCAACACTGCCCGACTATTTCTAAGACAATCTATCACGCTGGATGCAATTGTGGAGTTTCTGTGGACTACACCGTGCTGTCTTGCCCTGAGGTCTGTCCCTTCAGATATTATCACACGTATATTTATGCCTCCCTCTACGGCTGATGGAAACCACAAGTAGGATGGCTGTCAGCCCCAACACAGTCCAAGAGGTGCTGCGTCCCCAGGAGCCAGCATGGCACCTGCAGACTTGCAGCAAACACTCTCTGAATGCAAGGACAGAGAAGGAACGCTCATTTCTGATGAGTGCAAGCACATCTGACTCAAGTTTTAGCCAGTCCTCCCATTTTTATTGTCTAGCATATGGCAAAGAGTACATGTACGAGATAATGTGCAAGTAAATTAATCCCCATTTAATAGTCTTAACATTATTATAAGAATTAAGGCTTATTATGAACAGACGCTTTATTCTCCTTCTCATTGAGTGGAATTTCTGTGCCAGGCAGGCATTTACAGATACTCTGCTACTGAAATCACAAAGCTTAAGGTAGTGTGAAGTGGTAGAAAACCCTGGATTAGTAAGGACTTACAGAGCGTGGCATGACACCTCAGCAGCTGAGTTTTCCAGTCAGGAGCAGATTTACAGCCCCATTAGGACTATAAATGAAAGCGGATGGCAGAAACGCCAGTAATTTCACCTAAGTTAGAGCTTGCCATTCAAACATGATGTGTGGCACAAACATCTTGCTGGACAAAGCTAGAAATCACGTTGGCTTTTTCGCTGAGCCTCCTCCATCCATCATCTGAATGTTCTTGGTTGTCATGAGAACTAACAACTATACTGAACGATATAAAAAAGAACAATGCCCCGTCTTTTCTTGCTTTGCGATGGTCTCAGTGATTACATGCATGTATCAACGATCCCCCCACTTCTCTGTGGAGACACTTTTGCTGACAGATACTGTCCTGCTATTATCAATCTTTTCTTGCCCCAGGCTGGGGTCTAGGCCTTGAGCCCAGGCTGCCTGGCCCCAAGACTGTGTTCCCAGCTGCCCTGCTCTGCCCCTTCCCCACAGGAGGACCACTCCCCCAACCACCTAAAGTGTCTCACCATATGTGAAACCAGGTCACTTGTCAATAGCCCCGTGTGCACATGTTGGTTATAACACCCAGTCTCACCGCGTCATGCTGTGCACCCTGTGTACACCTTTCTGGGGCGCTTCAGGTCTCATACCACAGGCCATGACTACTACTCACTGTGTCCTACCTCCTGATGGGTAGGCACCTCAGAAGTGTGGACCAAGCGAGGTAATACATGAGTACTTACTGCGCACCTACCCTAACTGGGTTACAAAGACACAGGGGGTATAAACAGGAAAGCACTTTGAATTTATCAGCACTACTGTACCTCAAAGGTAGCTTTAAAAATAATATATCTGTTTTAGGAAAAAGAAGAAAGAAGTTTGCCTTTTTTTTTTTTTAATGCACATACCATTACTTATGTCCAACTTGTTATTTTTTAAGATAATGTTTTATTTTTTAAGATAATCTAGACTGGGTGGCTTAAAACTCACACTGGTGCATGTACGTGCGTGTGTGCCCAAAATCTCGAGAGGAGAATGGAGAAGGGATTATGGTGAAGCCACCCGCCCCTGCCCCCCAAGGTGATTTCTCACTTTCTGTTTATCTCTCTGTTTCTCCATGCATGCACCAAATAATAAAAAATCTCAAAACAAAAACAAACAAGCAAACAAACAAAAATAATGTGTTACAAGACAAGCAAAGGCATAAACCCTGCAGCAGAGTTTGGGATTTGTGCTATGATACCATCGCCTTTGCCAGGAGGAGACTGGAAGTCCTCCACCCCAGCATCGGTCCAGCAAAGCACTGACACTTGTTTCAGAGGGTTAAAATCCATCTTCTAGCTCTTCACTTGCCTTTTATAAGAATAAGTCATAAATGATCCTACTCAATTAAGCATGAATTCTCTTTCAAGATTTCTGGCGATATAAACACAAAATCACTTGATTTTATCTTTAGTTCTCTTTTGTTCTTGTCTCGCTGTTTATGATTACTACCATATATGCTGTTTATTGAATTTGAAGTCATTTTTGGTATTTTTTTTCTACATGAATTCCACAACTTAGAACAATAATAGCCTGCAACTTCAGATACTGCCTGAATGTAAATGCAGATTCTAGACGGTGAGCAGAAGCAAGCTACATGGTTTCCTCAGAGCAAGACATTCTTTCCTGACAAAGAAAATAAGGTAAGTAGAACACTTATGAAAAGCTTAAAGGCATTTTAAACCCAATAATTTGATCGCATATAATAAATTATACTTTTATCTCAACTAAGCAACTAAGAAATTAAAGGAAAACTCACTGATTTATCTTTTTCAAGGATTTTTTTTTTTTTTTTTTTTTTAGGTTTTTGCCATTAGGCATGTGCACTCAGACAGACAAAGAGAGGGAAAGTGAGAAATCACCCCCTATCGGGAATGGGTATGCTGTGATCCCTTCCCCTCCACTGTTCTTCCTAAGATTTTGGGCATCCACATACACACGCCCAGTGTGATTTTTCAAGCCACCAGGTCCAGGACTTGAACTGCAGTCTGCCATGTGGGAAAATCCAGCACCTTAACCACACCACCTGCTGGCCCCTAGAAAAAATTTTTAAAAAAAACAGAAACTGGCAGCTTGATGACAGACCACTTCTGTCTACTGTAGTTAAGCATGACTTTGTTTTACCTGGTAGTGGTATCAGGATGGTGGATAATCTTTTAATGAGTAGTGATGGATTTTAATCCCCAAAGCAGGTGTACATTCTCCCATGGTATATGTAAATTTCATGACACTCTCAGAGTTGACAGATTTTTGGAATAGGACCACGTGAAGGATTTCTGATGTTCTTACACACTTTTTTTTTTCCTTACACACTTTTCAATGCTAATAGATACGAGGCTTCTACTTATTTTTGGGAGTATGAGAATTTAGATTTAAGTGTTATCTAGATATCTTTTGTTAGAAGAATTGAGAAGGCTGTCAGCTCACTGGAGGAAACTGGCCACCACACCCTGTGCGGCGGAGAGAACTGATCCGCACGCAGTGCTCCTGGGCTTCTCTCGGGGATCTGTGGAAGCTCTGGGCTGTGCAGTCCTACCTTCCATCTGTTCATGTCACCTAAAAACGGACTATGAGTAAACATAAGGCAGCAACTCGCCATCAGCCAGAGGGTTAGGAGCCCAGCACTCATACTGAGCAGCCCCAAATTCGGCTGACAGTCTGCTATCGACACACACAACTGAGTCACTTGACACTTAAACAACTCTTTCTGTTGGTTTCAGACAACATTCCCAGTAAAGCAAAAATCTTCTGACCAAGTCATTCAATTGCCTATCACCCAGCAGGAGGCTGGATTCCGGATGCCAACTAACGACAGAGCACAGACCGTGCCTCCTGCTCTGAACAATACCAATGGGGTACAAGAGGAGTATTCAGGGAATGTCCGGGAAAGACCAAAGCAGCCCATACCCCACGCGAGAACCAGAAGAAACTTCTTCAAGGTGTTCAATGGTAAGATTTGCGAAAACACACAAAAACTAGCACTCCCGTGTTATCATTTTGCTTTCCTACTCCTAAAAGTGATGTTTCTATGCTTTATTTTTTCCACTTGATCAGAATAGTGGCATAGTGACACCACATAACCGTGTGCTCAACCACCAGGGTTATGAACACATCCCAGGCCCAAAGCAGGGGTTCTCCTGATGTTCCTCTTCTCCCAGTGGCCACCTGAACAGGACAAGCTGGGATAATGGTATGTCCCATCACCCCTGTCTGCTGCTCTTCTCTGTTAGCGTGAGTGGAGATAAAGATCCAGAGGAAGCTCATTACACATTTGTGCTCTGCCACAGTTCACCTGGGCAAAGATGAGCCACGGTTCCTTGCCCCCTTTCTCTCCTCTTTGTGATATATGCAGGCCCCATCCTCAGAGCTTCTCTGCTATCCCCAGTGGTCCGACACTGTCATTAATCTATAGTTCTCTCTAAACAATGCACAGTAGCTAAGCCCAGGCTGGCACTTCCTGAAAGAACAGAAAGGCTGTATCCTGGCCTTCCCAAACACTCCCTTACCTGGGATCCCGATCATCACAACCCCACTGCTGACAGTGGCATACTTCACTCCCCCCCCAGAGGGCTGTTAACCGGGAGGTGGTTACTGCTCTAAGTTATGTTAGGGATAAATGGGACTTGGGACAAATGGCCTGGCCATTTATGTCAGGACTTCTACAGCAAACTATGTGCCATATTTAAGTGTCGCAAAGGGATTTTAATAACAAACTCATGTGTACGTAGAAAACTGGGTATAACGAGGAATGCAGAGCCAGAGTATGGAGAGCCCTAAATTACTGGGCGTGCCATGTGTAAAATGCCAGAACAGTCCAGTGTTTATAATGAATTTGTTTATTTCTTACTGGTACTAAATATTACATTATTAATGGTCACTTCAGACTCATAATTAGGGAATCACTACTTTTTTTGCAAACCCCATATTTAGATGGCAAATAAATGACCCCAAATTAAGGCATTCCAAGGTCACTTGAAAACAGTTCCCTTCACGTGGACCCTAGAGTGCATGATGAAAAGTTTTTATAACCCTATGAGAAGTACAAATTTGGAGCATCATCTGCATCACTAAGGTACATACGCAGTTTATTCTTTCTCTTATACAAAACTAGAGGTAATAAAACACACTACTAAAACATGAATGGTTTTACATTTTTTCTAGTTATCAGAATAAATTTAAAAATATAAAAACCAACTGACATGATCTGCATCTTTTTCTTGCTTTGTTCACTTTTGCCAAGAACTAAACACACACACAAACAAAATGATAGCAAGCAAAAGAGAAAAAAATACTAACTCTAGAGAATCAACAACTAGCTAAATGGAGATTTAGTGCCTGTACAATTTAGCCTCAATTTACTAAATATTATTTTAGCCTGAAACACTTAATTACCTTTAAAGAAAAATTCACTTTCCACCAAATCACCCATAAGATCAGCCTTATTTAACGATAACCATCACCTTCTGTTTTTCTCATAACAACTGTAAGCCAGTAAGGGATCTTCTGGTCCTATGTCATTTTCAAAATAATTTAATGACTACTTGGGCAAGGATTAAAAATAAAACCTTCAAGAAGCTAATCATTTTTCATGTATACTGAGAAAAAGTAATGACTTTCATAATATGAAAACAGAATGTGAATAATTCATAGGTCAAGAAATTCATACCTTAGTCATCTGAAGATTCTGTAACTGCTGTTGCCAGGTAAGAATAGTTTCTAGTCGGCAAATCCAAATATTGATGTTTCCCACCAACACGGACTTCCCCACTCCTCTAATAAGAATGCAGAGGGTAGAGCTTAGGTCTTGGAGAAGATCTTTGATGAGGCGGGGATTTTGGTGGTCATCAAGAACTGGGAAAAATAAAAATGGAGCTATGGATTGATTCAGTTAGCCACCACCTAAAAATGGTCTAGTTTCACAACCCAAACATTCGCCAACATCAGAGCAGATAAACAGTACGTGGCATGTACATACAGTGGAGTATTACTCAGCTGTAGAAAGGAAGGAAATTCTAACACATGCTACGACATGGATGAAGCTTGACACATCATGTTACGCAAAAGTTCAAATATTATATACTACTACCTTTATGAGGTATCTAAAGTAGCCAAATCCAAGAGACAGAAATAGAATGAGGTTACCAGGGGCCGGGGAGGAGGAGAGTGCAGAATGGGGAGCTGGTGTTCAATGACTACAAAACAGAGTTCCAGACTGGGACAATGAAGCTCTGGAGATGGATGCACAACAATGTACAATTACTTCATGCCAGTGAACATATACTCAGAAATGGTTAGAAAAATTAAGTTTATATATATTTTATCACTATAAAACACACTGATCTGATTATATTGCAACCCCAAACTGGCATCATTTTTGTGATATCACAGATATAATAGGATTGTTTAAATCTTTTAAATGTTTGTCACACAGTAATCTTCCAGTTGGGTCTACAACTTCACCTTTAAAATTGTCAGTTTACAACTTCTTTTGTACTTATAAAGAGAATCAATATTTTAAAATTATAGAGTCAAAAATGTCTACATATGACTAAGTTTATGGTATAAAATCTGAAGTTTACTTACTAATAAGTAAAGTAAACTAATTAATCAAGACAAGCTCACTGAATTAAAAATAAAATGATGGCTTAGTTGATGGCTACGTAAGTCACAATCTTACAAATTATTACAGAATCACACAGCTAAAATTAAATGACTAGCCATAAAAAGATAAAATAGTCTTTTAAAACTCCATGAGTTATCTTTACTATCATAATATATTCCTACATATACAGAAGGAACTTTAAAAAAAGTGAACAGTAGTAACAGCAAGAACCAGAGGAACGACCTGCATTCCTGTCTGATATTACATTATTCACATGGTTTTTGACAGCAAACATACTGAGGAAAGAAAAATTTGAAATGTCTCTTACTGCATCAAATTTCACATTAAGATTTAGATTATTAAAATAGCAGTGTTCATCTTACCCTTTTGAACAATTTTATCCAAAATGTTGAAGTAATTCTTTTGTGCCACACCACTCAATGACGTTAACTGGGATTTTGCAATTAGCTGCAATAGCTTAAAGAAAAAAAGGGGGAAAAAACACTAGGCAACATATAAATATATTTAATCTGGAATATAAACCTCAGTGATATATCACAAATACAGCATAAAGGATCAGCTAACACGAGGCTCTCAAAATCAGGTCCCTGCGTCATCTGGAGTCCAGCTTGGGAAATGGTCACCACCTGCATTAACTTGAAGAACACTGAACACGAGGAAGCCAAGGCAACCATGGCTTCTATTTTCCAATCTTGTGTACAACTAGTTAGTGGAAGCCAATTTACTCCCAGAACCCTAGCTGCAAGAGAGTCTATGAAACGTAGTCTTTAGCTTGGCAACCTCTATGGTAAGAGACACAACAGAAAAAGTTGTACTTGGTCATAGGTGCTTGGTCACTAACAAGTATTTGTGCTAGACTACACCTAGACTTGCTATTGTTATCTGAGAAGACAATCAGAAAATCAAAAGGCCCTTCCATCTGGAAAATAAAAAGGATAAACAACAAAACCAAAACTCCAACTTCTTTTTTTTTTTTTGGCCAGGGGGTGGGTACACATGTGGGAGAAAGAGAGAGGATCCTCCAATGGGCCTTGGTCACACCCCAATCCTTTCCCATCTAATTCTCCATCCCGTCAGGATCCTGGACACGCACACATGTCTAGCGTGTTTCTCAACACTCAGGGCCAGTCCTTGATCCCTCGTTAGCCACAAAGGATTTAGCTTTCTCTGCACAGCACTTAACCTCCACACAACGGGGCCAGTCCCCAAGCTCCTTTTCAAACAGCACTTTGGTCAAAGAGTATTATTAGGGAAACTTCAAAAAGTTCATGTGAAAAATTAAAGTGTGAGTTTATTTTGGTCCAAGAAATATGAAATCTACCTATAGTTTTTTCATAGTAAGAATTTCCTATGAACTTTTTGAAGACCCTCTTCATATGAATTACAGAATATCTGGAAAACCAGCTACCTGCTTTTGTAATGGTTAAGGAGTCCTGGACCAGGTAGCTTGAAAATCACGCCAGGAGCATGTACAAGCATGCCCAAAATCCCAGAAAGAGGGAGAAATGGAGGAGAGAGGACTGCTGCATGACCATTCCCTTTGGGGGAGGAGGAAGGGTGCTTTCTCATTTTCCTCTCTCTGTCTCTTACCGGTAAGCACACTTGCCCTCTAGGAAAAAAAAAAAAAAGTACAAAAAGAAAAAAAATGATATTATAAATCACTGCAATGGAATCTGTGAGATGCACTTCCTCTTTGCTAGAATGGTGACAGCATCCACCTCCACTTATGCCTGCACCCCTGAACACTGCTGTCTCTGCTGTACCCTCAGATGTGCATCCTTTGACAGTGTGAAGTGAACTGCTTCGTTCCTTTAATCTTTTTATTCCACTTCTTTTTGTTTATATCTGCCCAGTGTATCTTTTCCATTCTTTTCTTTCAACATTTGTGAATCACTGTATTTTACGTGTGCTTCCTACATACAATTTGGAGTCAGCCTTTGCTTTGTAATCCAATCAAAAATTGTTTACTTTTAACACTCTCCTTACACTTATGGACACGAGACATGTTTGGTCTTAATAGTGTGACACATTTTCATTTTCGTAGCTTTAAAAAAAGAATCTCATGTCTCTTTTCCTTCTTCTCCCACTCCCTGCAGTTCTTTTTTTTTTTTTTTTAATTTTTATTATCATCATAATCTTCTTTATATTACATTGGATTACATATAACTTTACATCCCTGCAGTTCTTTTAAAATTTAGGAGAGTTTGCATTATTTTGTCCCAGAGGTTACTTTTGTAATGATAACTTTATATAATTTTTATTCCCCTACATCCTTCAACAACATATCCTAGTCATGTTAGTTTCCTGTTCCAAGTTATGATAGAACTACCATGCCTCTTCTTCCTCCTCCCTTCCAACCCTTCCCTCTCAAGCTGATTTAGTGAATAACATTTTCTTCACAACCACCTTGTGATTACAGGTGGGACAGACAACAACTTTTCCCCCTACCTTTTCTCTCCTCCCTTCCCAAATTTTCCTAGTTGCACCATTTTGTCCTTGTCAGGACCTGTGACCTCATCTGCTCATTACCCGAACCCCACAGCTGTTCCCATCCTAGTCTATAGTTAACACAGTGGGTCATCGTGGATCCAGGCCTGCTGCCATGTTTCTAAAACCATCTCTTAAGTGGCTGAAGTTAAGTTTTAGAAATACCCATTAAAACGATACTCTCAGTGTCCTGAATCCCTACATGGGCAACACTTTGCAGCCTTACTACAAAAGGCAACTGCATGGACATAAATTTCATGAGTCCTCCTTTCTACTTGGAGGATCCTGTAAGGATTCTTCCATTATCGGAAAAATACATAGAAATTTGAGGCCTGAGAAGCTGCCTCCCCTCCCTTTTTTTTTTTTTTTTTTTTTTTTTTTTTTTTTTTTTTTTATTGGGGGCGGGCCCCCCCGAAACAAAAAAGAG